TTTTCCTCTTCTGCCCGCTGTTTCTCTCTCTCTCCTCTCTTTCTCACATCACACATCTCTTTTCTTATTTTTTTTTTCCTTTTTTTTAATCATTTCTTTTAAATTAGTGTCCTAAATAAGTGCACTTTTTATTTTTTTAGACTATAAAATTGAAAAAAAAATATGGATGTTTGGGTTAAATTTTTGACTTTTTATAAAAAAAAAATGTGTATTAAAAAATTGTATAAATTAGTGTGTAAGGAAAAATTAGGATTGAGAGTTGTGCAGCCGTAATTTTTGACTTTTGGTAAATAGTGATAACTTTTTAACTTTTTGAGTAACTTTTTGACTTTTTAACTTTTTTTCAACTTGCCAAACTTGGCCTTGAAAACAATACAAGGTTGTTTGGGATATAAGTGATGTGGTAGAGAGGTAATGTGACTTAAATAGAATAGTGACTTTTTAACTTTTTATCTTTTTTAGAAGATGACAAACAAAGTCTAACAGAGGATGTCAAACCCGCACCAAACCATCCCATGGCCATTGCTTGGCAAAAAAAAGTCTAAAATGCCAAGAGTGAAACATTTATGGGGTTGTTTGGGATGTCTTAAATAAGTGCACTTTTTGATTTTTTGGACTAAAAAGTTGAAGAAAAAAAGATGGTTGCTTGGAATACCTTTTTTGCTTTTTATAAAAAAATGTGTATTAAAAAATTGTATAAATTAGTGTATAGAAGAAGTTTAGGATATAATAGGCAATACGGTGGATGTCCTAGCTGTCAGCGTGTGCAAAGTAGTGTATAGGAGATGGTTGCCTCCTTTTGGGCATTGAATTGGACGATATTGTTCGGCCCGTAGGGGCCTACCACGGGTCACATTTTTCTAATTGGAACCGTTCAATGTGTAGAACTTGTCAAGTACTATATGTTTGTAAAAAATCACGTTGATCGGATATCAATAGCTATCTGATCGGTTTAATTTTTTGTCAACCGTTAACTATAACACCATCTATTTTTTATACAAAACTGATTTGATCATGTAGTTAGCAATATCTGATCAACATGATTTTTTTACAGACATATAGTACTCGACGATTTCTACACATTGAACGATTCAGATTATCAAAACGGGACCCGTGATGGGCCACCACGGGCCGAACAACACCGTCTTGTTTGCTTCTCCGCCTGTTCCCTTTGTACAAACGGTGGGCAGCTAAAGTACGACTCAAGTGACATGTGAGTTGTACTTTTTTTTGTAAAATTAATTTTTTTATATTTTTTTTGGTGAATAGTGATAACTTTTTAATTTTTTTAGTAATTTTTTGACTTTTTTGAGGTAACTTAAAAATGGACAAATTACTCAAATAGTCCCTATAGTTTGGGCCTTGCGTCACTTTGGTTCCTGACTTTTCAATTGTGACACATTTGATCCTGAATTTTAAATCTTGTTCCAAATAAGGACAATTGAAGATATCATTAGATTTTTCAAGATAAAATTGTCAATTCGATAAGATATAAACTAATTTAACAAAAATAAATGTCAAACAAATATTTTTAAATTTTTAAAAATTATTTTTATCCACTAAAAATAAAACTATATAAAATTGATAAATCTGTTAGACATTTATTTATTTATTTTTATCAAATTAATTTTTATTATGTGTTTGGATGATAATCATGTAAAATTAATTTTAAAAAATTAATCATGTAATTTTTATTAATTTTACATAATTTTATCATTTGTGGATAAAAATAATTTTTTTAAAATTAAAAATATTTTTTTGACATTTATTTTTGTCAAATTAGTTTATATTTTATCAAATTGACGATTTGACCCTTAAAAAATCTAATGATATTTTCAATTATCCTTATTTAGAACAAGATTCAAAATTCATAACTAAATATTTCACAATTAAAAAGTTAAGGACCAAAGTGACACAAGTACTATTTTTGTAATTATCCCCTTAAAAATTTACGACCCAGTCTTCGGGAATTTATCCCCACTCACGCGCTTTTCCATGCATTTACGCTCGCGTCTCTCAACTCTCTCTTCTGCCCGCTGTTTCTCTCTCTCTCTCTCCTGTCTTTCTCACATCACACATCTCTTTTCTTCTATTTTTTTTTTCCTTTTTTTTAATCATTTCTTGGCGGCCGGCCAGCCCAAAAAGAGGCCGGAGAAGGAGGTTTAAAGAGAGAAAAAAGAGAGGTTTTTTTTTTAGAGAGAGAGAGTTTTTGTGTCGTTCGCAAACTTTATTATAACATCTATTTATAGCAAGGAAGTCCTTTTCTTGTGATCAAACCTCTTTGTGAAATGTTTGTTTCAGGATCCATAAGTTGTAACTGGTTCTCATGATACAACGATAAAGTTCTGGGATCTTAGATTTGGTAATCAATATTCTGGTTTTTGATTTTTGTACTTTTGTTTGTGTGTTTCTTTTCTCCTTTAAGTTTCTAATGATAGCAATTGATTTTTGTTTGGTAGGTAAAACGATGACAACCTTTACACACCATAAAAAATTTGTGTGAGCAATGGCTTTAAATCCCAAAGAGTATGTATCTATAAATATAATTTGTTCCTTTGTGAGGCCCTCCAGCTATGGTTGATGTAAAATGCTTCAATAATTATGTTTTCTGATTTGACCTTAAACTTAATTTCTTGCTTTTATGCTCTAGGAATTGTTTTTGCATCTGCATCAGTTGACTACATAAAAAAATTCAACCTTCCAAAAGGAGAATTTATGCACAACATGCTGTGAGTATCTTTTATTTTTTAAAAAATATTTATACATATACATCATTCCAATGCTACTGTAAGATGTACAGTTTGTTATTCCCTATGAATATTTTGGCACTATTTTCTTTTTTTCCCCTTCTTTCTTGTTGCCATTTTTATTCTCTTCATTATTATATTTTGGAAATGGGGAAATTGCTCCAACTCTATGAAGAGATTCAAAAATCTATTCTTCTAGCTAATAAAGCTCCTTCACCCCATTGAATGATCTTTTTGCCACCTATACCAATCATCCCATACACCTCAATTTCAATAGGAAGTTTAAACATTGAGTATATTGTGTGCCTGTAGAGCCCAACACAGGCTCCATTTCGATAATTCGAACCGTTTATTTTGTAGAATCTGCAATGTATATTATCTATGAAAAACATTTAAGGCGATCCAATAATCGTAACCTTTCATTTTATCGTATTTGTCTCTAAAAAAATGAATGATCTGTTTTGAAAGCATACTTGTTGTCCATTTTTTCAGACACAGATGTATAAAATGAAAATGGTTATGATTATCGGATTAAACTAATTTTTTTTTTTATGAATAATTGACAGCCCTACAAAATGAACAGTTCAGATTATTGAAACGGGACATGTGGTAGGTCCTATAAACCCTTCAAGTTTTGTTATATTGAGATCTCAACACGAAAAAAAAAATCTAACCCTAATAATAAAGATACGACCCCATGCGAGCAACACGGTATAACATTTACCAATTCCTTTAAACCCCCTATCTATCTATACTATATATATAACTAAATGTAGTTGTTTTGTCAAAAGCCTCTATATATTTATTCCTAAATTCTCATAATTTTAAAACTCTCTCTTTTCTATGTGGCAACCTTCTTGGATCGTTTTTCACGTTTTCTATTTTTCTTCATTTTCTATTTGTTTGATTAATTAAAATAAAAATTAATTTCATTACTTATGGATAAAAATTTGAATTTCAAAATTCCGCCATATAGATAAACATATAAAAACTGAAAATTAATTTATGAAAATTAATTTTATGGTCTACAAATAAAGATAAAATTTAAACAATTAATTTAAAAAAAAATTAATTTCATAACTTATAGATAATTTAAAATTTCTTTCCATAAATAAACATATAAAAGGTGATAAGTAACTTATAAAAATAAATTTCATGGCCTACAAATAAAGATAAAGGTTAAATAATTGATTTAAAAGAAAACGAAATTACGCATTTTTTTCATAAATAATTTATGAAAATTTATTTCACGACCTATAGATAAAGATAAAATTAAAAAAAAATTATTTAAAAAATTAATTTCATGACTTATAGATAAATAAACATATAAAAATTGATAAATAATTTATAAAGATTAATTTTGTGGTCTACAGATAAAGATAAAGATTAAATAATTGATTTAAAAAAAATAAAATAATAAAATTTAGATAAATATATGATTTGTTAATCTATATATCTATCAAAAACATATATATCTAAATCTTTATTTTGATTTACTCATTTTTTTCTATCCGTCTATCACATGTTATCTTCTTCTTCTCTTCTTTTCTTTTCTTTTTTTTTTTTATTTGTTATATTATGAAATGCCCTTATTTATAAGTTCTTAACCATCCTTTTAAATTCTTTGCTTCTTTATGATAATTTTTATTATTCTTATTATCTACCAAGTGATAAAGATAATATATATATATATATATATATATTAAGCTCTGAATGAGAAGAGTAATTAATAATGAAATTAATATTTTATCCTAAATTCTCATAATTTTAAAAACTCTCTTTTCCTACGTGGCAACCTCTTGGAATCATTTTTCATGTTTCTATAATTCTATAAAAATTTTTTCATGACCTAAAGATAAGATAAAAATTAAAAAATTATTTAAAAAAATTAATTTCATGACTTATAGATAAATAAAGTATAAAATTGATAAATAAAATATAAAGGTTAATTTCGTGGTCTACATAAATAGATAAATGATTAAAATAATTGATTTACAAAAAATTAAAATAATAAAATTTAAAATAATATGATTTGTTAATTTATATATCTACCAACATAATATATCTAAATCTTTATTTTGATTTAACTCATATATTTTTTCTCCTTCTGTCACATATACCTTTCTTTTTTTTTTTGACTTTTTTATTTTATGAAATGTCCTTATCTATAAATTTCTTAAATCTCCTCTTACATTCCTTAACCTTCTCTTGATAATTTTTATTATTTGTTATTATCTCCAGTGATAAAGATAAAAAATAAAAAATAAAATTATTGGCTTTGAATGAAAAGAGTATTAATAAATGAAATTGGTTTCAGCCTCTGAATGAGAAGAGTATTAATAAGAAAATAATGAAGGCCTGCATGGGAGAAGGCAGCACAAAATCTCAAAAAAAATTAATTTTCGTCACTATATTTATCCAGAGGTATAATTTGATAATTTCTTTCTATAGTTATCAAAATTGTTTGTATAGCGATCCCCCTGGTTTTCCCTTCATTGTATAATTGATATTCAGGACTCGAGTGTCATGTATTTGTTGTGTCTGTATTTATCGTTTCCAGTCCTTTAATTCTTTGTATTTGAGTCTTGGTTGTGTTGGGCAGGTTTTAAACAGGTTGGTTGTGTTGGAAAACAAGATACTAAACCTCAGATTTTTGCTTCACCGCTCGAGGCGGGCCTTTTGACGCTCGAGCGGCCGGCTTTGCTTCACTTGTCTCATACGCTCGAGCGTGGAGTTGACGCTCAAGCCGGGATTAGTTCAGCCTCAGTATTTTTGCGGTCTGGTGCAGAGCTGGAGTGCTCTGACTCGCTGCGTCACTTTTCCACGTCACGATTCAGCAGGAAATGTCTGATGTCTTCATACGCTCGAGCGGGGCGGTCTTCGACGCCATCACGCTCGAGCGCGACTTGTGTTAATTTCAGTCCAGAAATAACGCCATTTTTAGAACCCCATTTTTTTAACTTCTCTGTCTCCTAGTTTTCAACATAAAGCTTGTTGAGTTTCTCACTCTAGACTACTTTTACTCTCTTAAGATTTATCTAGTCGTTGTGATCTTCAGCCTCTAGTCCCCTTTGTAAAAAGATGTGGCCTTGGTGTGGGTTACACTTTGATCGCGAAAAATTTTGTGGTTTGGAGACCTACTTGAGTTTCCTTTCTTCTCCCTTTGAGTCCGAAATTTGAGTAGGGATAACTACTCATTTCATGAGTTTTATATAAACAATGTGGCTAGTCTTGATTTAAAATGGTGAATAGGTAAAATTTTGGATAGGTTAGGGTTTGAGTGAAATTTATAGAAGGGGTTATTGTTCATTTCTTATGTGTAATTTTGGTCCAAAATGAGAGTATTGAATTGGTTTATTGTATATATGATGATAATTGGACCTTTGGGGGCATTATTGAAAGGGGGTTAGACCAATGGTGGAGAATCTAATTTATATGATAATTTGTATAATTAATTGGAAAAAATCATGAAAAATATGAAAATTGAGCAGTGAAATAATTGAATTGGAATTATGAGATTTAATGGTGAGTTTGCATTATTAATCACTCCACTTTGAAATTGTGTAGATAATTTATCTGTTTGATAATTTATTATTCTGTTTAGAAATAACTGTTTTGGGTTATGATGAAGGATAGTCTTGATTGTTGTAGACATGCATGATGATTAGGAAATAAAAACTAATCACCTAAATATGTTGAATATGACGGAGGAATAACACATTGAATAT